TGTCCCACTGGAGCATCCTGAGAGTGCTATTTGACAGCCGTGCGGGGAGGTGCAAGGTTGCCATCCCTCCCTTTTGGGGCCTGGACCTCCAGGAGCCCCCCTATTGCCAGGGACCCTGACTTCACTGAGGCGGGGGGCGGCCTGCAGGTTAGCACAGGCCCAGCCCCAACCAGGTGGCCTCTTGGGCCCTGCAGGAGCCGACTACGGGCAGATTTCAGAGGAGACCTGGGTCTACCTGAACAACTTGTATGGTGGTGGCCCGGAGGTCGCCATCCGACAGAGTGTGGTCCAGCTCCAGGACCCAGAGAGCTTACATGGGGAGCAGAAAATTGAAGCTGAGACCCGGGCGGTGTGACTTGGTGCCAGTCTGTAAGTCCCTTCCCTTTGCAGAGACCCTCTCCTGCCCCTGTGCATTGGAAGAATGCATCCCTCAACACACCTTCTGTGAGGCTGTTTGGAAAAACACTCCTGTGGGCCCTGCTGGGCTGAGTGACCCAGGTGTCCCCACAGGCCCCAGCCTCTGCCCCCATCCCCGTGGAGGGTGTATCTGTGCCTGGAAGAGAGGCAGGCCGCTTTGGAAACCCAGATGTGTAAAGAGGCAGAAAAGTTGTTTGGGTTCCAGTGAATAATGTCACAACCAGGAAACATCTACTTCAGGCTCTTCACACGACCAGGGCTCAACTGCCTGGGTCCTTAACTGGGGCCTTTGTGTCCACTTGTTACTGTCATCGGGGCCCAGCTTTGGTCCCTGGAGCTGCAAGTCAGGGGCTGTGGCCTAGAAATGGAAGGGCGGGAGGGGCTCCAGGAGATGCTGGGAGCTGGGGTGCAGGAGTGCTGGAGCCGACTCCTCCCCAGCCCCCGCTTTGGCCCCATCCTGGGGATCACAGGAAGGCTCCGGAACCCTGGAACCCTGGGCTGCTCTCAGCGTTTCACCTCAGACTGACAACTCGGGGCTCATTTGTGATGGGGACCCAGGGTGAGGGGCAGATCTGTCGGTAGAGGTGGTTTCCGGAGGCAGCTGGTCCCTTTGTCCCTGGCTGCCCGTGCTGCCCCCACCAGGGAACCAGACAATGGGACAGAAGCATACCCCGCTTCACTGTCCTTTGCTGTGAATGCAGCTTCCAGGGTGGGGACTCCCCCTTTCTCCCCACACTGTCCTGGGGAGCCTGGGGAGGTGCGGCTCTGCTGCGGAAGCCCACCCTGGATGCTCAGTGAGGCTGCGCTGGGGTGAGCACAGGGGGCCGGGTCTTGTCTCCAGTGGCCCCCAAGCCCCTGGATGAAGCCACTGGGGCGAGCTGCCCACCTGGTCAGGCCCAGAGTGCATGGGAGCCAGGTCCCCACACCCCGTGGCCTTCAGGCTCTAGAAGCAGATGGGGCCGGGATCCTGGCAGCGCCCTGCAGCTTATTCGGTTCCTTCCCCGCTCCCCCCAAGGTAGCATGTGGTCCAAGAACAAGCGCCCTGGAAATCCCTTGACATTTGCTACAGTCTATTGAAAGTTCCTGCTGCAGCCGGCTGCCGGCTGCAGGTCGCCCCCCGCTGGTGACAGAGATTCCGCGCCAGGTTGCAAACTCGCCCGATGTCTGCGAGGCCTGTCGATGTTCAGACTGTCCTAATAAAGACTTATGCGTTCCCCTCGGCCCACACTGTCGTCTGTGTGCCACGCTCGCTTTGTTATTGGAGGGAGGGGGGGGGGTCTGCATGGGGTGGGGGTGGGGGCCGCACCGGGTGACCAGCCTTCCAGACCATGCGGCATGCGGGTGTGGTCTTGTGGGCATGGGCTCGGCGGGGCTTGGAAACCAGGCAGCCCCTGGATCCTGCAGGAGGGGGCGAGGAAGAGGGGCCACGAACACAGGCCTTCCTCTCCTGGAACTGGGCCCAAACCCAGAGAAGTGAGGCCAGATGTGGGGTGGGGGGTAGGGCAGCACATCCCAGGGCCTATCCCCGATTGGCACCGCACCGTGCCCCGGCCACTCGGGGTATACCCTGCAACCTGGGAGCACCCTCCCCCTGGCTGACAGCAGACATCGGTGCCTCCGATCACAGCATCGCAGTTGCCGGGGTTCTGTGCGGGGAGCTCCCTGATGTTTAATGATATTAGTGTTTTATTTTCCCTGTGGCTTTGGTTGGGTTTTCTTTACACTTCTTGGGGTTTGGTGGGGAGAGAAGAATTGGAGATTTTTATGTACTTCTGGAAACACACATATACTTGGGAAATCCCATCAGATGTGAGTGTGCAGACCCATCACCAGTCCCCACGAGCCCCCGTGGGTCCCTCCTGAGCACAGCTACCCCCTCCACCCGCAGCGTTAGCTCCTGGCCTGTCCCTCATCCCCCACTTTTCTTTATAACTTTCCCACGTCCATGTGTATCTGAATCTAAGCACTGTTTTCAACTTTGCTCACTTTTGAATGTCATATACGTGGAATTCCACGGTACAGATTTTGGGATTGGCCTTTCTTGTTTACCGTGGAAGATGGGAATGAAGAAGTTCTGTCTGGAGGATTGAGTGATTTTGGAGGTTTGGAGACACACGGTTACTGAACTACAGGAAGGTGCGGGAGACAGGGAGGTACCACTTGACCTTAAAATCTTCCTTTATATTTTCCCTTGACATACCGGGCTTTTAAGTGGTTCGGCCAAACTTTGATGCTGGATTCTGGAGACAAAGCAGGAAGCCTCAGGTGTTCACCTCACAGACCTAGTGGGGTCGGGAAACACTGGGCAGCAGGGGAGCCCCCTCTGGTCTTTCTTCCACATGTACCCCCCCCCCTTAGGTTGGTCCAGCAGCATCTTTGAGAGGAGCCAGAGCCCCCACTGGGCGGGCAGGGGAGCATGAGGCCCAGCTGCTGCAGAGTGTGCAGGCATTTCTGTCTGCCCACTTCTGCCCACAAACCTGCATCAGAAAATGCATTTGCAAGGTACAGGCCACCCAAAAAGTGTAGCTTACTACCTTTCGTTCTACCTAGAATTCAGTGCAAACATAAATGACCCTGCAGGTCTCACCCCACCTCATTTTGAGCCCCACAGAGCCTTGGGGAAGCAAGTGGTGGTTTGGAATCACCCCAGCTCTTTTCCCTGCTGCAGAGAGGGGCATTGGTGGAGGAGCAGGGTGCAGAAAAGAGGACCGCCCTTAGGAGAAGCTATGGAAAGGGCAGTCCACGTTGCAGACAGTGTGTGTTTCTGAAAATTGTCCTGAGGATGCCTTAGGATGCCAGCCCCAGCCCTCCCCTGGATCTGAGACCAGTGAGCAGCCTGGCCTGGGCAGTGTCTGGGGTGCCTGGGGTGCTGGAAGTGGGGACAGGGCTCCGCCCGGTACAGTGGGAAGGTGTGCACCCCGAGGGGCAGATGCTGCCCGGGATCCTCCCTGCCCCTCCTGCACTCTACCCTCTCCTGCACCCCCTCCTCCCCTCCAGTGTAGGGGGGAGGGGGCTCTCAGATTCTGCTCCACCTTTTGTGGTGAAGCAATGCCCCCAGCTGGTGGGAAGTCATTTATAAGTAAAGGTCACTCACCCTGGACAGGTAAGGTTGAAACCAGGCCCTAATGGACACACCTCTGGGAATGTAGCTCCTGATGTACACAGAGTCACTGCTGAGTGCTGGTTCACAGACTTTGCGCTTTATTTAAGATTTCATTTATTCATTAGAGAGCACAGCAGGGGCAGACACAGGCAGAGGGAGAAGCAGGCTCCCTGGACCCCGGGATCATGACCTGAGCCCAAGACAGACACTTAACAACTGAGCCACCAGGCACCCCCAGATTTTGCACTTTAATCCCGGGTCCAAGAGGGTGCTTGCCACAAGCTTACTGCTTCCCCTTCTTAGAACAGCAGGGGCCAGGGAGGAAGGGGTGGCCTCCTGTAGCCAGGACAGGGGGACCTTGGCCCCACTGAGCTAGGCCTGCTTCGTTTCTGTTCCAGGGGCCCCCCTGCACCTTCCCTCATGATTCAGAGTTGGGGCCTACAACTCTGGAAACTTATTTTGCTTTAACTAAAAAAAAAAAAAAAAAAAAGGACACTCGACACCCCCCCCCAGCCTACTTCCACCCAGTACCCCGGCGTGGCGTCTTGCCTGGTTCACTGGCCCCTCTCCTGCTAGGGGTTGCCACTGCCTGTGCGGCCCTGTGGTTGGGCTGGGTGCGGGCTGGGTGTGGCCAGGAGAAAGGGCCAGGCCCTGCAGGGGTGGGGGTGGGGGTGGGGGCCCCCGGAAGGCTGCTGACGCCCAGACCCGCTGGGGGAGCCCGACCCACAGGTCGGCTGCCTCCTGAGTCAGGAGCTCTGGCTTTTTTAAAGGCCACTCACATCGGATTGTAGGAGGAGGCTAGGGCCGAGGTGAGGCCTGGCCTCTTCTTGGTGGCCTCCCCTCCCAGCTCTCGGCAGCTCTGCGGCCGCTTCACTCTCTCCCGACTGTCCTCAGGGGCCTTGAGGTCCTGCAGAGGCGTGGACACAGACCACGTACCATTCCTCAAAGCCTGGGGGGGGGGGGGCGGATTCCCTGAGCTGGCGGGGAAACGGAGCCTCCCGGGGCGCACATCCTGTGGGCCCCCACCCTCCGGTGTCCCACACCCGCGCTGAAGCCTGCGGTTACTGCAGCCAAGCCACCGAGATGCCAGATGCCAGATGCCAGATGCCGCGGCAGACTGGCCACGGGATGCAAACGTGCCCTGTGGTCCCTGCACCCCCACCCCACACATCAGGGTCCCTGAAGACCCAGAGTAGCTGCCGGCTGAATGCACGTGGAAAAAACATTTCCTGCTCCTAAGGTGCCTCCCCCAATCTGTCCTGAATCACCCTGAATCCCACATCACAGCGGCCCGGCAGGCAGGGGTGGTGGTTAGAGCGAGCTAGGTTGCAAGCCGGCCGGAGGGGATGGCAACGGGACTTGTCTTTGGTTCACACAGTAAATCAGCGAGGTGCAGATGGGCCCAAGCCCCCAGCCCAGGGGCCCTGCCTGCTTCCCGGACCTGGGTCACCTCTCCACGCGACAAAGTCCCATGACAACATAACAGAGATTATACTTTTATTTAACATTTAGAGGATTAACATATAGTTACAAGGTCAATATATAAGCCTTCCAATGGAAGCACTTTATTTGGTTTAATTCCATCTCCAGAGACAAATGGGCAGTTCCAGAAACTTCACAATGGCAATGGGCCGTGACAACACTGAAATGCCTTCAAAGTTTAGGATTAGTGCCACACACACAAATAAACCAGAAAGTTTAAAGGTGCTCAACATCAGATTAAAATAGAATTTTGGATCACTCTTTAAAGAAGTGTTGTGACGATACAAGCATGGGAGGCAGAGGCATGAGGAAGTATGAAACTAAGATTTCTGGAAAAATACTTAGCATCAATGTAACTTTTTCATGTTCAGTAAACTTTCTCCTGCAGTTACAGATGTCACCAGAAGGCATGAGGGGCCTCTGCTGTGGCTAGCGAGATAAGTAAGCCTCAGCTTATCTGGCCTGAGCCCGGAGGTGAGTACGATAAAAACCAAAAGGAAAATCCCATTACAGCTTTCCATGCTTTTTTATCTTGCAAAGGAAAAACTGGGTAAATGACAAGTTCCTCTCTTTCATTTTGTTTTCAGGTCATGTTCAGGGCAGGTGCTTTAAAACTTAGTCATTCTTAAAAACAACACTATTCTAGCATGGGCGTAGACACGACAGGCATGGGGGGGGTGAGGGGGGAGCTGAGAAGCAGATGGGAAAGTTCCCCGTCTCTACTCTACGTGAACTGGTCCATACTCATATATAGATGAGTTCCCAGGAGGATTCCCAGAGTAAATGATACAGTTCAACTATCCTATAATAACTTATCTCCTGTAATGAGCTTGGGTTTGCAGCATTGCCCTTCCCATGCAGCTGTACAGACTGGCTGGGAGGCAAACACCCAGGTTAACACTGAGAAGCGCTTATGATCCATTCTCTTCTGGACACAGGTGGTACAGAAGGAAAAAAAATGGAGGGGGAGGTTGCACAGGGGTTACAAGATACGAGCATATTCTATAGTGGGCTGAACAGACATTAAAAGAACAAATCACTGCAGCTTATACCATTTTCTCTACATTGCGAGAAATTAATCTATCCTGACCCAGAATATGAAAGATGCAACGCACATGCATTACCGAGGCTCTAAAATCAATTTTATAAAAAGACCATTTAGCATCCTTGTGGAGCGGAGGAGAGTGGCCAGCTTGGGGTGGTGAGATTCAGAAGGCCCTGGAGATTCCTGACCATCCACCCACCCGCTGGAGGAGGAGCCCTTTGTGGGGCCGCCAGGACTGCCCATCCTAACCACACGCCTGTGGGTTTTGCAGGGATGCATGGGAGGCCCGGCTTCTAGGGCATCGGCCAAGCCAGCCCTCTCACGAGATGGGGTGGGGGGTGGCTCGCTACAGGTGGGCCACCGCCATGGGGAAGGGGCACTGTTGCCCATGTAGCAGCCCCGAGACACCCATGGTGTATGCTGCTCCGGCAGGGAGGCTGGTAGTCTTCAACCCAAGGGCCTAGCCCCCCTTCAGGGCAAGAGACGAACAGAGACAGAGACAGAAAGAGACAGAAGAGGAGGGGCTCATGCTGGCTGGCTCGGCTCAAACCCAAAGCCACTTCCTCTTTACCTGCTTTACCCCAGGCATTTGCTGGCTGGAGGCTTCTAGTCACTGAGCTGCTCTCAGAGGGTGGGGTGTGATCAACCCTGGTTTGCTGAGAGGAACCACTCTTTGGGGGCCACTGAACACAGGCCCAGCCCTTAGCACCTGTCATTTCTGCCCTGGTCCCTTCGGCTCCTATAAGACAGCCTTGTCTTAGACTCATAAAAGTCAAGAAGAATTGAGGATGTTCGAACTGACCACCCAGTTACCAAAAGCCAAACGAGAGAAGAAAGAGGCCCGATTTCCTTCTTGGGCTTCGGATGGTGCCTCATTCACAGAAATGCACAGCCAATGATTTCTCTCGACTGTATCTGCACCAGAGAAGAAGGGAAGCTACTGCTGCTCTAAGGCATGAGTGGCCATGAGCTACATGGCCTCATGTTTTCCTCAAGGATCCATAAGAAGAAGGAAACTTAGGTCAAAAAGCCAACTCGATCCTGTCTCTGGGGCCTGCGGGGCACGTGAGCATATGCAGAAGCTGTCGCCACAGATCACCCGAAGGACCACACGTAGCACAGGCTCTTTGGTGAGGAAAGCATTAAAATTTAAGATGCAAATCTCGGAATTCATGGGAAGATGGGAATTGTCACCTTGTGACGAGCTAACGCCGAGCTGTGATGCTTGTTTATAAAGTGCCACGATCTATCATTCTCATTGATGGGGCAATGACAGGGAGAAGGTGGGCTAGGTCCTCCCTGGACCCCACGGAAGGTGGACACAAGCTTCTGTGTGTGGCCCTCGAGATGGAATTGGATTTTGAGTGGAGACTTCTCCAAGCCAGAGCGCAGGCCCCAAATAAAAATGCCTGTGTGTGTGTGTGTGTGTGTGTGTGTGAGAGTGTGTGCGTGAATGTGAGTGAGCTTGAGTGCAAGCCAGAGGGGGATGCATGTGTGCATGTGTGTGCATGTGTGTGCCTGCCCCAGGACCCCCCATGGACAATCAATCTCAGGCCATGAAATGTCGTCTAGTACAAGGTGAGGACCCATAACCAGAAAAGGATCACTGAATGGTCAACGGACTCGGGATACATCTATGACACTCAGGTGCTCAGTCCACCTGAGCACACCTGACCCTCCTTGTCCAGATTCTGTCGGTCTCCCCAGGGGGAGGCCAGTGGCGAAGTTTTCACGAAAGGCACAGTGTGAACCATGGATGGGCCAGGATGCTCCAGGTAGACCAAGGGCCAAGGCAGGGGCCCGGGAAGGAGGGAGCACGTGTCTAGCTGTCTTCCGTGGCCCCACACGCACGCTGGGGACAGGGATGAGGACACGGGACAGACCTGCTCCCGGAGAGGTGGCTGGGCTGGGCCACGGGAGGAGGAGCTGGGCCACGAGAAGCATGCTGTCAAAAGAAAGGAATGAAAAAGGCAAGCAGCCGCGTGGCAGGGGCAGGTTAGGAGGGATGTCGCTTCAGGCTGAGATGTCGCAGGGCCACCGGCTGGCCCAGCCGGGGAGCAGTCTGCGCGCGCGCGGGCGCCCAGGCCTGTGGAGACAAGCAGACCGAAGGGTTTCTCCTGGGAAGGCTCACCGAGGCTCCGGCTCCGCAGCCGCCTCTAGGAATCTACAACACAAAAGACAGAAAGAGAAAGACGTTTAGAGGGAGGCGGGCGGTCAAGGGCGGGCATGCTGCGACCTGGCAAACTGCACCGCCCGACGGGACAGCTTGAGAGCGGTGGGTTGTGCCCCCAGTGGGGTGGGGGGGGCACATCTGAGATAAGGAACTTTCACGGTTTCAGGCGGGCTCAGGAGCTAGCCTTCCCTTCGGGGCGCTGGGGGGAGAGAGGCCCCCATGGGAGACCCTGCGCCCATCCACCCCGACCCCTCTTTCTGGGGACACTGAGTTTCGGAGGAAAGAAACAGGCCCAGCTTCCCAGGAGGATTCAAGGAACGTTCAAGGCCCGATTCTGTCGCCATCCGACACTCAGCCCTTTTATGAAAACATGGAACATCTTGGTGAAAAGGAAGCACTTGTCACTCAATGTCGACTCAGCAATCAACAGTGAAAGTTCTTCATCTTGAGGGGGCAGGAGAGGAAGGGGAGACAGACTCTTGAAGCCCTCAGGTGCGTACAGGGCGAGAAACAGAGCAGGTGTCATCATTTAAAAGGGGGAGCAAGGGCAGATTTTTAAAAAAGCATTTGGCTGGAAGAAGTTCCCCATTACTGAAGACAAAAAGAGTTAAATCCCCATATGACACAGAATCATTTTCTTGGAAAGGTGACAAATCATTTAAAATACACAACACTGAGAAAAATACGTTTATTAGAGAGGCAGGTACGAGGGTACAACTAAAAGGTGCCAGACAGATTCTTTTCTTTTAGGGTAAGAAGAGAGAGAGAGAGAGAGAGAGAGAGAGAGAGAGAGAGAGAGAGAGAGACAATCATGTTGGCCGTATTGGAACAGAACTTACTCAGAACACAAGTGTCTACAATAAACTCAAGCGCGGAGCTGCCGGCCGGGGACCTAGTCCTCCCGGCTTCCCCAGTGGTTACAAAAACGAAAAAGGTCATTAGGCAGGAGAATCACCAATAAAACAAACAGATAAAAGAGTCAAACGTTAAAACAATGAATTCAAGTCATCTTTTAGTTTTTAAATGGCAGTATGTACAAATATCTGGAGGGGGAGTGGCTGAGGGCTGGGGATTACGGAACGTATTTAACAAGAAAACAATTTTAAAAACAAAACCAAAATCATAAAGGAAGATAGTCACAAACCAACTGACCCATTGGACGTTCCTCTAGTCTAAATATTTTGGCAATTATTAAATAGTCACATCGTAGATAACACACACACACACACGCACACACACAAGTGCACAAGCACAGAATAGCTGCTTGGAGTTCTGGGCGTTGGGAAGCAGCAGCCCCACGGGCTGGGATGGGTTTGAGGGGACAGTGTTCTTGGGGGTGCCAAGCAGATTGAAAACCAGGTGGGGAGGACAGGCTTCTACACATACACTAGTCCCCTCTAAATGTGTCTCAAAAGGAGAAAACTTTCTTAACAAGCTGAGACTTGGCTTCTTTCATTTTATCAGAAATAAAATTTAGGAAAGAAAACCAAAGTATACGGTGGGCAGAAATGGGGATTCTGATTCTTTGGGAATGGTTTCAGGACTTCTTCGAATACTTGGGGTGCACTGACCGGCTGGCACTGGGCTGTGAAGTGTCTTTTACTGTTCTGTCCCTACCCTGAGCTGTCTCTGCTAAGGCTTGGGGCACACAACTTAAAATCATGAATGTTAACTTATGTGCCCAAACCCGACCCCCAGCTCCCACAAACCAACCGATCCATTTTCTGAATCAAATTGGTGCAATTGTTAAGGAAAAAAAAATAAAGTAAAAGCACAACAACGTCACGGACGCCATACTTTCCAAGGGAGGCTTCAAAAGGCTCATGTTGTCTTGGCCGTTTTAAGGCTTTTTCACTGTTTGGTTTGCTTCCTGCTGCAGTTCATAGGCTGGAGCTGAGTCCATCACTGGACAGAAAGCTCTGATTTTAATATCTTAGGTCCCCCATTCGCTTGGGTCCATGCCTAGTGCTGTGACCGCCCCCTGCTCCTGAAGAGGAATCCCTGTGGTTTCAGGGTCAGCTGAGTTACTTGCTGCAAATATTTAAAAGGGGGAACAGAAATGATTTTCCTGAGAGGTCTGGGGTCCAGGGTGAATGGCTTTATCAATGTTATGTCAGTAAAGGTAGAATAAGGCAAAAGAAATCTGAATCATGAAATTATATTTCAAAAAGCAGGCTGACCCACGTCTGTTTCCTGCTTTTGGTATTATACTACAGTTATGTCAGAAGCCCCCGCTGGAGGACCCTGGCTGAAGGGCACAGGGATCGATCGGGTTTTGCTGTCTTTGCAACTTTCTATCATTATTTTTAAAAGTAAAACGTGTGTTAAAAATCAGGCTGTCGGGCAGCCCCGGTGGCGCAGCGGTTTGGTGCCGCCTGCAGCCCGGGGTGTGATCCTGGAGACCTGGGATCGAGTCCCACATCGGGCTCCCTGCGTGGAGCCTGCTTCTCCCTCTGCCTGTGTCTCTGCCTCTCTCTGTGTGTCTATGGATAAATAAATAAAATCTTAAAAAAAATCAGGCTGTCATTAAAATTTACTAAATTCCATTTCTGGCGGTCCTTGGGACATGTAGTGACCTTTCTGCTAGAATCCAAACAAGCACCTTTAACTCCCGCCAGGTGTCAGACTCCTGATGAGCTGCTGCTGCTTCATAAATCAGCTTTTTTTTGGGAGGAGTGGGTAAAGTCAGCTTTAAATTGACTTGAGTTTATAAAAGGGACTCACAATGTAAAAGCAAGGAGCTAATTTTCTATTTCAAAGTAGGAAGGACATGAATAAGTAATTCTCAAAACCAAATAAAAAGAAAATCTGAGCCTGACACCTTTACTGTGAGCCATTCATAGCTGGTTCTCTGCGATCTCAGGGTAGATTCCTGGAGTGGGCACAATCATTGGGCTTGGTACCCATCTACGCATGTGACCGACTTCACTACCAATCTTGCCAATTTAAAAAATGCACATCCCCACGTGACCCAGATTCCTTTCAAGGTGGTGAAATACTTTATTTTAGTCTGGCAATGATTAATTATATAAAATGAGCTAGCAATTCTAAAATGACTTTCAGTGAATTCATGTTGGGTCTTAAAGATACCACGATTAAAACAAACAAACAAACAAACAAACAAACAAACAAACAACCTAACAAACCCAAAACACTTCTGAGAAGTGATGAACTGGGGTCTGCGTGTCGAAGCAGCTGCTGCACCAGATTCTTTTTACAGCCCCACCTGGGGACGTGTGAGCTGAATACAGCTCCACTTGCCACCAAACCTCCAACAGAAGCATGCTAGGTTTTTTTGTAAGTTCTCGAAACAGTACCAGGGAATCTGATCAACCCTGTCAATGGCAGAGGGGAGCTCAGTGGCCTTTTTTTTTTTTTTTTTACGTGGTCTTAAGTAAAAAAAAGTCAACTAGTTCATTGTTAACCAGGCTTCTCCGGATTGCAACCAGTTGTTTGGGATCATGCAGATGTGATAGAATGATCACAACGATCTACCAATGATCTTAAACACGTTTAAGGAAAACTATACACTTCCAGTACCAAAATAGGAATCATCTTATTCTTTCAAGCAGGGGGGGAAGGTTTTATTTACGACTTCCTCCAAAGCAAGTGACTGTAAGATTAAACAAACTAGGGTAGTTAAAAAACAAACAAAACAAAACAAAACAACCCAAAACCTAGAGTAGTTCAATGTGTTAAGTTACCAAATGTAACATTCTCAGGTGGTTCAATTTATGGCAGATTATGGCAGATGCTTGCTAGAGATATGAGAACCAAAGTCTTACCCGCCCCTCTGATGTGTGTGGACCTTTTAAATCCAGAGATACCAATTAGAAGCTAAAGGCAACTTTTTTTGGATACCTACAGATACTGCCAAAGTACGAAATGTTTATCAGATTTCAAATGACAGAACCGTAAATTGGCAGTTGGCAGCTTTCCACATCATATTTCATGAGCAAGAGAAACATGATTATAGTCAAAACTAGCCAAGGAAATTCGGGTGTTCAATGGATGCCTACAAGTCCACCGTGTGGCCATGTGACAACATGCACTCCGGTGTCCTCCATCCAGGCTTTGGAAGAACTGCCTATAACAGTCCTAGTGGTAAGGAGAGACAACTCCATTTTTTTTTTTTTTTACAGTTTTTGTGTTTTGTTTTTTTTTAAGTGGTATTAAATATAAGTCTTAGCACCTTTGGCATTTTTGTCCAAATAGACTTCGACGTACGAAGTAGGGACATAACCCTCTTCATCTTCATTTCTCCGGATGCGGGTCCATCCGTCACCTTTGTCTTCCTCTATCACGTACAGTGTTTCTCCTTCCACGACGGAGACGGTCCCTTCGTTCTGACCTGGAGGAGCAAGAACAGAACCTGTCAGGCAGGCTTCTGTCAAAACAAGGCGGAGCACACAGGGGAGCAAAGCAATGAGAAGACTGCAGCAAGCGACAGAGGCATGGACCCTTCCGGGTCCTTGCAAGGGCTCCTCCCACTCGGAAGCTTCCAGGCCCTCACCCTGCGGCTCTCCAGCTCTTCAGGGAGCCCCCCCCCCAGGAGGCCAGGTGTTTCCCCAGGGAACATCTTTGCTCTGCTCTTCCTCTGTCTCTAACTTTAATGACACCTTTTCAGACACTATCCCCGCTTCTCTTTGTCTGGCCCTAGTTCTTGTCAGGAGCTCAGGTTCCACTTCTTCTGCCTGAAACACACGTCCACCTCCATGTTGCCCTGAACCTGGGTGGGCTGTGTCTCCTCCCAAACTACAACTTCCTCCTACCTTCCCACGTAGGTGGGGCCCTAGGAAGGCACCTTCGAGAATCCTCACTTCCCATCAGCCATGGGTCTGAGCAGTTTGTTGACCTTGGCATCTCTGGGCCAGCTCTTTAACCAGGGTCCCCAAGGCCACTTGCAAAGACCAGTGTCCCACTGCGCACACAGCATTCTGGAGGGCAGATTGTCTGGGGAGCAGCCTCCAGGGGTGCCGTGGGGGCAGGATGAGGCCTGGGAGTGAGGTAAAGTCGGCAACACTGAACCTGGTGCTTTCTTGTCGCATTGAACGTGTAGCCTGGCATGAGGACATCCGTAAGCTCCCTCTGTCCTGGAGCTCCCCAAATCTCCCTGAGCTTGGACTGCTTCTTACACAGCATCCTTAATATCTTTCTACGGTACAGTGTTCTGGCAACTCTGGGCTGGTCTTTCTTTCTTTCTTTCTTTCTTTCTTTCTTTCTTTCTTTCTTTCTTTCTTTCTTTCTTTTAAAGGTTATTTATTTATTCATGAGAGACACTGGCAGAGGGAGATGCAGGCTCCATGCAGGGAGCCCGAGGCAGGACTCCATCCCAGGACCCCAGGATCACGCCCCGAGCCAAAGGCAGACACTCAACCACTGAGCCACTCAGGTGCCCCTGGGCTGGTCTTTCTAACCCTTTATCCCTGTTCTCAGATTGGCCCTATGCACATGATGATAAATGTCCTAAGGTACAGCTCTCATGGTATCATCATCCTGCTCAAACGCTGTCAATAGCTCCTCAGCTGTTGCCAAATCAAATCCAAACGATTCTCTTACACACACCCCCACCCCAGTGACACCACTTCCTAGTCTCAGATTCCACTCCCACCTAAGACATCTAAGCTCCAGCCCCGTGAGCCCATGCTTCCCTCACCTTCCTACCTCTGGTGCTCAGCAGCCTAGAGTATTCCCTGAATTAATTCTCTTAAGGAAGTGAGCTCACCATCCCATGAACCCCCATCACTCTGTACCCCTCCTCTGGTAAAAGCTGCCAGCTGGCCTCCCCCAAAAGTTGGCTCTCTCTCTCTCCAGGGGTGGAAGCCACACCAACCCCCACCCCACGTCCCACCCCTTTGGGGGCTTTACAAGACAAGAGCTCCAGAAGTATTGGATGAATGGATGAAATAATCATTATTCCATGCTATGTGCTGCCAATAAGCTCCCCAAAAGCTGTTGTTCCGTTGTATGGGCCAGTGGGCAAAGTACACAGCCATGAACTAGATAATGATGGTGATGACCATGAGCAGAACAACAGGGTAAGAAGAGAGAGAAAGATCTGGAAGGCTTCGGAAGAAGGTCCAATCACAGCAGAAGGGTCAGCGTGCGCAAGCAGGGAGCCAGGCGGACGCGGGTTACCTTCGAACGTGTAGAGGGCTTTGCAAGTCCCGATGGCGGGCAGGGGCTCCTCCTCATCAAACTCGTCATCGAAGTCCGTGGCCAGCACCTTCACCTCACCCTCCTGACTCTGCTCCTCCGTGTAACTGCCATCCGGGCTGCTCAAGAAATGAAACCACACAGCAACTATAGCGACTGCCCAGCAACACTCACAGCCCCTGACCGCTGTCACAAAGGCCATCTCAGGTCACCTCGTGTGCTCTGTCACCAACCCACATGGCACCAGGGACCCAAGTGGTGGGGAAAGGGCAGGTCAGGCACCACTGGCTCTTTGGTACAGAACAAGCACCTTACACTCATTTCCAGACTCCAGAATTGGGACATGAACACAAAGCAAACTTGCTTCCTGCCGGACAGTAGGCTCAGTACAGATACTGTACCTCTCACGGTCCTGAGCACAGCTGTTGACAGTGGCCGGGTTCTGGGCGTCGAACATTCCACTCTGCCGGCGGCCCTGCTCACTGCGCGGTGGCAGCCTGCCTTCCACCTCAGCCAGCCAGGCCTGCAAGCAAAAGCCACCAAAGACCTGGTCTGAGCTCAGCTGAGGGCTGGACCATAGAGTCTGAAGGCCCCAAATGCAGGGGGGCTCAATGGTCACTGAAGCTGAGATTCGAGAAAAATCACATGGGGTAGGGGGCCCCAGTGTATCTGCATTCAGCTATATAAGGGACTCACAGGCAACTGCTTCCAGTTCATCTCACCTTGGAGAGGTAGAAGCAAATGTGTTTAGACAACGGTCACAATGTGACAGAAAGAGCACTGGACTGCATTACACTCTTGGGCTTTTTAAATTTTTTTTAACATGGACCTCGAATTCACAACTGTGAGATCAAGACCTGAGCTGAGATCAAGAGCCAGATGCTCAACCTACTGAGGCCCCCAGGTGCCCCTCTACTCTTGGGCTTTTGAAAACACCTGTGTGATTTCAGATAAGTCACTTCTAGTTCCTTCTGGTTCCACAATTCTGTGACCGTGAGGTCACACCGAGAACAGGAGGGCCCTGCCACACGTAAGCAGTGACTCAGTGTGAGAGCCACATTCTTCCCCTTGCCTTTTTTTTATGGACTGTCACTCTTTTTAATAGTAAAGAAACCTGTATAGAGGAAGTCAAATAAGTTAAAATTATCTTTGGCAACATCTGAAATAGTGTAAAAAAAAAGACAAAAGGATAAAAATGACCAGAAAAGGACATCTCTAGGTTCTAAACACTCCAACAGTAATAACTGACTTACAGATTCTAGCAAGACTTTTTTTTTTAAAAAATATTTATTTATTCATGAGAGACAGAGATACAGGCAGAGGGAGAAGCAGGCTCCATGCAGGGAGCCTGACGCGGGACTCGATCCCGGGTCTCCAGGATCACGCCCTGGGCTGAAGGCGGTGCTAAATCGCTGAGCCACCCAGGGATCCCTAAGAACACTTTTAAAAAGCCGTATCTGATCCTTCATTGCTAGAAGTAACACCTACTCGGCCTGGAGCAATCAGTCACTGATGTATTTTTCCATGTTCTGTAGTCTCTAAATTTATAGAAGCCTTTTGTCTATAGCTCTTGAGTGCTCCTCTCTCTTTTTCTCTCTCTCCTTAAAACATTTATTATTTATATTCCCCACTCATGTCTCATTTGTGTCTCTCACCGGGTTTAACATATATAAACCTTTGATAACGCGTCCTTTGTAAGAACCATATTTGACATGATTTCTTTAACTTCTGGACTCACGATCGCATGCTCCCAGCTGGACCCATTATCAACAGGCACTGAAGCAGGATAAGTACTAAGTGATACACTTAAACCAAAGAACAACATATACAAATACAGCTTTGATCAGTGTAGGTTTTAGGGGACATTAGGGACAGAGGGGCAGAACAGCCAGTGAGTGACTACTTTTCCTTCTATCATGACTCGAGACGCACCCTGCCAAATCCAACTGCACCTCTTGCAGCACACGACGCATGGGTGCTCTAGAGCATCCCCATGCTGCGCCCCCACCCCCAGCCCTTACCCTGTTTCTTTTTTTCCGACAGAGCTTTTCAACCACAGCTTTTTCATACCTCAAATTTCTGGGCTTCTAGCCGCAGTTTTTCTATATTTTGGCTGACTTCTGCTAATTTGTGATCCAAACTGCCTGGGTCTCCCATCTGAGGATTCTTTAGGTAAACATCTTTCATTTTTGTTATGGCATCTCTGAAAAAAAAAAGAAAGAAAGAAAGAAAGAAAGAGTAGTACACAGTGAAGGTGATCAGCCAAGTGGATTCTCCTACCACCCTGAACACTGTGTGAATGGGAACACACGAAGATTGTGTCACAGTATGGGATGGACGGGAGGACTGGGACCTGTTTTCATCCTAAAACTCTCTAAGAATCCTGCTCCCCAAATCTGTATAATCCAGAGCCAGATATGAAATTTTTGGTTGCCTTTTCTAAATGGTATCTGGTACCTCCCAGTGCCCTCAGCAACTGAGAAACATAAATCACTCCTGTCCCTCCCTTCACCCCAAACAACAACAAAAACAAACAAAACCCAAATAGCCAGGTGCACATTCTTGGTGCAAACCAAAGCTACAGCCGGCATCTTGGGTCTTCTGGGCTACCATCTGTTCCCCTCATGGAGAAGCACAGTTAACTGCTTTGGAAATTTCATTATACACTTTACACGGTTGAGAAACCAAACCCACAGTTGGTATCCACGACAGGCGGGCAATGCAGCCTCAAAGCTACATACCGCAAGGTTCCACACTCTTCCTGAAGTCTACTTGGAGGCGCACCCACAGCAGCTTGAGTAAATGAATCCCTACAGAAGTGCTGCAGCCATGCTTGGGGCGATCTTCAGGCCCAAAGGGCTCTATTATTTTTGAACTCTGGCTTCCAGGGACTTTCAGAAGGGTTCGAGATGTAAAAAGTTCAGGGCAAATGACTCAGCAGGTGGTAATGGGTCAACTTTAATGAGCTCCATTCAGTGAAAAAAGCAGTCTAAACCTGCTATACACATAAGACCAACGAACCAAGCCATATTTTGAGTCATGGGAAATAGTTTCACTGAAAATACAGAAATATGAGGAAGAGAATTTCCATAAGTCCTCACCACGCCTCTGCTCATCCTCACCCCTCCATCCTGCTGCTCCTTTGGGGGTACACTTCACTTTCCCTGAGGCTGCATCTCCATTACAGCCGTCCATCCACCTGCGCTCCCCACCCCCTGACTTTGCTCCACTTCTTTCTCACAGTGTGTATAGTTCCCGACATTATATAACTTATTATTATGCTTATTATTGTTGGTCTCTTCCTACTAGAATGGAAGCTGTCTGAGGAAGCACTACGAGCTCAAATTCTTTTGTTAATTTGTATCTCCCCGGGGCGGGACAAAACTTGGCACGCAGTAGATGCTCAGTAAGTATCTGAGATGAACAAATGTTCTTACAGCAAACAAACTGTAATGTCCACCTTTAACAAATTCCTCTCTTGACTTCATGGCTACACCTCCAGCTACAGCCCTATCTCTCTGCAAAACTTCTCAAAAGACTTGTCAAGATTCATCACCTTGGATTCTTCTCCTTCTATCTCTCCTGATAGGTCTCTCCAGAAGTTTAATTTTATGTATCTTTTCTTTTTTTTAATTTTTATTTATTTATGATAGTCACAGAGAGAGAGAGAGGCAGAGACACAGGCAGAGGGAGAAGCAGGCTCCATGCACCGGGAGCCCCACGTGGGATTCGATCCCGGGTCTCCAGGATCGCGCCCTGGGCCAAAGGCAGGCGCCAAACCGCTGCGCCACCCAGGGATCCCCCCCCTTTTTTTTTATGCATCTTTTCAAAGAACCAATTCTTGGATTTGTTGATCCTCTGTGATGAGTGCATACTTTTTTCCTATGTCATTAATTTACACTCCTGGCTTCTGTTTCCTCTGGTTCCACTTGCTGTGTTTTTTCTAAGTTCTTAAGATGGATACTCAGCTCACTGATGTTTACTGCTTTTTGTTTTCAATATGTATAGAAAGCATAAACTTCCCTTTCTGAGCATTGCTTAGTAACTGAGGTGTAGAATGTGGGTTCGGGTTCAGCTCTGCTCTATTTTCCAATATTTCTTAGGATTTCTTCTTTAGTCTCTGAGTTATCTGGAGCTACAGTTCTTTTTTTTTTTTTTTTTTTTTTAAGAGTTTATTTATTTATTTATGAGACACAGAGAGAGAGAGGCAGAGGCACAGGCAGAGGGAGAAGCAGGCTCCATGCAGGGAGCCCGACATGGGACTTGATCCTGGGTCTCCAGGTTCACAGGTAGGGCTGAAGGCGGCGCTAAACCGCTGAGCCACCCAGCCTGCCCTGGAGCTAATTAGTTCTTAATTTCTAAATGTTCTAAGCTTTACTGCAGGCTTCAGAGAACACATCTTGAACGGTGTCTACCCTTGGATGTTTGTTGAGATTTGCTTCATGAAAACAGGACATGCTCAATTGTTGGAAATGTTCTATGTGTGCTTGGGAAGAATGTGCACCATGCAGTTATTGGATAGATGTGTACAAGGCCAATTTTATCAATTATATTATTTAAATATCTTACCCTGAATCTGTTAATCTGTTCTATCAGTTACTCAAGAGAAGTGCATTAAGAATCTCCCCCCACAACGTGTTTTTTTTAAAAAAAATTTACCAATGTGTTTGCATTTCTTGCACATACTCATGTCAAAGGGCTAATCGCAAAACCTTTTTTATGTTTTGAGGTCATACAGTCCTACAGCTTGAAACTGAGCTGTTTGTTACTTGAAGCATTTATTATTATGAAGTTGATCTTCTTGAGCTGACTAGTTTGAGAGTTTTTTGGCCTGTAACTCAGTCTTCCTTTGGTTGGCGCTGGCCAACCAGTGCATAGTATAACTTTTTCCATTCTTTTGGGTTTTTTTTTTTTGTTTGTTTGTTTAAAGATTTTATTTATTTGAGACAGAGCAGAGAGAGAGAGAGCATGAGCAGGAGGGAGAGGGACAAACAAGACTTTTCACTGAGCAGGGAGCCTGACGTGGGGATTGATCCCAGGACTTTGGGACCATGACCTAAGCCGAAGGCAGACACTAAACCGACTGAGCCACCCAGGTGCCCCAATCTTTTTCCATTCTTTTATTTTCAGCCTTTCTATACCTTATGAATTAGATGTGCCTTTTGTAGGTAGTAATCAGGTGGATTTTGGGTTGTTGTTGGTTTACTCTGAAAATCTAATTGGGACATGTAGTCTGTTTACATTGAACATTTTTTATTTCATTTCATTTTACAGATACTATGTGCCAGGTATTGGTCCAAGCACCTCCCACACACTGACACATTTAATCCTCATTATTAACTTCCTTTTCAAGATGAGGAAACCGAGGTAAGGTCAAAAGGTTAAGCTCAAGAAGAGCTTAAGAAGCTTGTCCAAAGTCGGCAACAGAAATAGATGGAACCGAGAATAGGTTTGAACCCAGGGTATTTTAATATTTTTTAAAGTTTTATTTATTTAAGTCATCTTTACACCCTACATGGGGCTGGAACCCACAACCCCAACATCAAGAGTGGTATGCTCCTCTGACTAAGCCAGCTGGGCACCCTTGAACCCCAGGGCATTTTATATCTACCCTCACACTTTGTGATTTGATTAGTCCTGCCTTGTTCCTCTTGTACAAAGTGTAAGTTGCATGAGGACAGAGGTTTTCTTTATTTTTTTTAAAGCTTTTATTTATTTATTCATGACAGACAGAGAGAGAGAGAGGCAGAGACACAGGCAGAGGGAGAGGGAGAGAAGCAGGCTCCATGCAGGGAACCTAATGTGGGACTTGATCCCAGGTCTCCAGGATCACACCCCGGGCTGAAGGTGGCGCCAAACCGCTGTGCCACCGGGGCTGCCCTGAGAACAGAGGTTTTTATGTGTTTTGTTCATTGCTTTATTTCCAGGGTCTAGGATATTTCCTTGTACACAGTAAATGCTCAATAAACAGTCATCTAGTGAATGGTTAAACAGGACTTACCTTCTTACCAGCAAGGCTACTGTGAAGGTTATAAAGTTAACCAGCTTCCAAGGCCACCACCCAGTGGCAGAGAAATTTCTCTGCATAATTATTGGACAATTTCTACAATGTTGTTTCAGATACCTGGGTCAGAACTTCTTATTCCCATACAGAATGTAACTGCTCACCCACTTGGGGCACCTGAGTGGCTCAGTCGGTTAAGCGTCTGACTCTTCAGCTCACATCATGATCTCAGGGTCGTAGGATCGAGCCCCATGTCAGGCTCTGTGCTGGGCGTGGAGGGGTCTCTGCTTCAGGTTCTCTCTCTCCCTCTGCCTCCCACCCCCACCCCCATATGCTCTCTCTAAAAAAAAATAAAAATAAAAAGTAAATAAAACCACCCATTTCTCAGAAGTTGCTCTACGAGGGGTAAAAGAACAAACAAATACTTTTCTTTTGCTATGTACTAAAATGGTACTGCCTAACCAATTTTGTTTGTTGGTTGGTTGGCTTTTTGCATAACCAAATTTTAACCCCAGCTTTGCCATAACTGCATTTATGTAGCATCACTTTTCGGCCTATTTACAGAGCACAAAATCTCAAGTATATCTTTTAGAAAATCTCAAATAGATGAATGATTCACCTAATTCACTCAGTGAGAATTTATAAGGTGAAAGACAGTTAATAAAGGGGTTTTCAATCAGGATCTTTAGCAAGTATCCCCTAAGCGGTAGAAAAGATCTTCAAGTTATAAATGTGGGGAGGGAAGTGCAAATGAAAAGAGATATCAAATCTTTTCTTCTTATTATTTTTTTGTATGTGTATCATGCTGGGATCAAACTTCTAAAACAGCTCAGAAAACCAGGACCCCCAGCAGCGGGATCCTGATGCAGAAGCTTCTCAAGAGCAAGCAAATACCACACCTCTGACGGCTAGCAGTGTGTGTAATAAGACATACCGTGATTTGTTTTCTAGACATCATTAATACGCTTTATAAAAAGGTAAAGAGACATGAGAAACTGGGAAGGTTGATTGTCACTTATTCTCAAATAGAAAAGACAAGGACATCTTGGACTCAAAGCTGGGATGTGGGGCAAGGAAGGGGGTAGGAAGAGAAATGCCACGTTTGTCTTCCTCACTTGTACAAAAAACTCAGCTACACACTCATGAATAAAAAAAAAAAAGAAGAAGGTGGGGGATGGGGGAAACAGTGTCCCAAGGGGACACTTAATGCACTGAGTGATGTATAGAAGTGTTGGCTCACTGTATTGTACACTTGAAACTAACATAACACTCTATGTTAACTCTACTGTAATTAAAATTTTAAACTTAAAAAGAAAAAAAGAGAAATGTTGCAATACAGAAAAAAAAGATAATCAAACGTATTTTGTTCCCCAAACTCAGAGTAAAAACCTCCTTGTTAAAAGAATTCTCCTGATCTGTAATGAAGCCATCCAGTAGACCCTTTGTGACAAAACACAGGGCTGAAATAATCACTTCTCTTGAAGCTATTTTAGGGTTTCCCATCTTTCCACACTGAAGCTGAATTTCTTAATAAGTCGTATTGCTCCACTCTACCTTTGATCCATCTCCTTTTGAATTTCTTTATTTAATTCATCGACTTTCTGCTGCAGCTTTTTCCTTCTCTGCTCAGGTGGGAGGTTGCTGAAATCCTCCGGTGTGGCGCCCTGCAAATGCAAACATGCGTGAGCCAGCGGCACTCCTTGAGGACAGACACTAAGTGAAGCCTGCAGGACAGATTCCCCAGACACCAGGGGATGCAGATGTCTGCGTGTGTTTTCATGAGCTAAAGTGAAGCTCTTTCCCACGACACCCAGCTGAGATGTGAGTTCAGTGCATGCAAACTGCAAAAAAGTCCCACAAACCGGTTCGGGGTTCGGGTTTGCTGGCCAAACCACCACTGCAAAGGCAAGGAAGCAAGGCCACAGAAAGAGAGTGGGGAAGAAAAAATTCTGACCCCTGCGAGAATGGACGAAAAACCAATTTTGAGGCAGATTCTTCACTTGACCGGCAGTGCTGGTAGCAACCCTGAAGTGTGAAGGAAGTTTAAAGTTTCTGCTTCCTTCATACAACAGGGACAAGTGCCCCCAGCGACTGTTTCATGTCCAAGGCACTGCTTTACTCCCTAGTCTTTCTTCCCACTTCTTCACACAGGCTGAGGCCAAACATTTCCATCCCCAAGTGGCAGAGGGGACATCTGGTTCCTTGGAGAATGTGGGTGAAAGGGACATGAAAACATTGATGTTTCCTCTCCCTGCTGCCTCTAAAAGTCTGGTCACTCCTTTTTGACATCTGTAGGGTGACCTCACAAAATCCATGTAGAATGCGTGCTCCTCGACCTCCGCACCAACTTCCCAGCGCACAAAATCCATGTCAGCTGTTTCCAATCCAGCAGAAGGAGCCTATTTTGATATCTTGATCCCCTTTCAGAAAGAATTACTGTCTTTCCAAGGTGCGTGCCATCTAAATAGAGCTTGCAGACTTCCTCAGATGCTTACATGTCAGAAGCTGTGGCGAAGCCACTGGTTATCAAGTGCTTTTACTTCAATGAAGCGTTTTCATAAGGAGAGAGAAGCGTATTCAACAGTCAAGGATAAGCCAAGAAATTTAAAAAAGAGGTTTTACTTTAGAACCAGTTAAACACACTGGTTTGGGAGTGTGGGTGGAAAAGAGAGGACTGGGATAATGGAATTCCAAAATCGAGCTGAAATTGCCAAGCAGCTGACATGATGCTTGTGACCCAGGCTCCCTGGCTGCTTATGACAGAAGGCCAGGCTGCTGTGCTGGAAGCGTGTGATTTAGTAATTTACCGGAAGGCCATGCACAGCCCTTTCAGTGGAGTTTCTCAGACTCGTGTGTGTGTGTGTGTGTGTGTGTGTGTGTGTGTATACATATGTAAGAGAGAGAGAGAGAGAGAGAGGGAGATGAGAGAAACCAGAGCACAAATGGCTATTCCCTCATGGCAAGCCAAGCAAGCTTAGTTGCCTCTAAAACTAAGATGATCCAAACTCATCTTCAATATGGAAATAAATCAGACTTGTTTTCTTCTGTCCCATATGCTATTACCATCTGTAATACTTGAGACCCAAATTGTGTGCTTGTCACTGAGCCCAAAAGCACGATACGTCGTATGTACTCATGCTGAGTTTACTTAAATTGGATCAGCATGTTTTCCAAAATTAAGATTTGTTTTGTTTTTTTTCCAGTGCCAGAATGCACCATAACACAGGGCAAGACACGCTGCTTCAGAAGCCAGGAAATCCAGTGAGTGCTCCATGTTAACTCATTAAGAGTTACTAAGCCTAACTAACTAGGGGCTAGCAGGCCCAAAGAATTTTTTTCCTACAAAGAATGGAAAAGTTCTCATCTCTGCACTAGTCAGTACAGTAGCCACACATGGTGCAATGGTGGAACTGAATTTTACATTTTTATTGCATTTTAATTAACTAAAATGTAAATAGGCACACGTGATGGGTAGCTACCGTACGGGATGACATGGGTGTAGACTATGAGCAGGTGGTGGGTTTGCAGTGGTGCGTAAACACAGTACTTGTGACTTATAAACAAGTTCCCTATACAGTGAAACACTTAACTTTAATTATTTATGAAAACTAAAAACAGTTAAATAATAAACCAATGAATTAAGTCCCTTCCAATAGATATTCTGTGTTTCTGTATCATTATTTAGAAACTAATCTCATGAGCAATGTCCCGAACAGACTTCACATTGCTCTCAGGTCATGGCTTCTTCTAGATCCAAAGGATCATAAGGTGTCTGGAACTACCTTAAAAGGCCATTGTGTCCAATTAGCCTTTTAAGGCTTGGATTATTTTAAACAATACACTGACCTGTGATTCATTTTGCCATGAAGGGATTTATATTTCTAGCTTTGAGTCAGAGTAGACATTCTGAAATCTTTGGAGGGGCCCAGTTTGCAAAGAGACTGGCCACACCTATGTCACTGGTTTTGCAAGAGGGGATCAATGCGTGTGGGTATATTTTATATGGTTGTGGCTCTAGGAGGAGCTTGTTTTACACACTTCGGGAAGCAAACTCTTGCTCCTGAGCATCTCCCCCCGATAGCACAAGCAATAGCTAGCTGCTTCTTGTGATTTTACTTTTTTTCCACCTCGGGCATCTTTGGGGAACACTTCCTTTCTTTATTAGCTTCAAAGTAATGGTATAAAGCACCAATTCAATACCAGATCAGTAAAATGATTCAGACAGAAAGATCGCCTAATATTATTATTAATATCTTTTGCTGCTAGCACCTCAGCAAAAGAAGAAATACAGGGGCGTCTGGGCGGCCAGACGCAGTGGCTGAGCCTCTGCCTTTGTCTCGGATCATGATCCTGGGGTCCTGGGATTGAGTCCCACATGAGGCTCCCCATGGGGCATCTGCTTCTCCCTCTGCCTGTGTCTCCGCCTCTCTCACGAACAAATCAATCAGTAAGTAAAATCTTAAAAAAAAAAAAAAAAAAAGAAGAAGAAATACAGAAACAGCAAGGAAGGAACCCCGGTACCTGAGAGATTCTTACTTAATTGACCCAATTTCTCCCAAATTCATGCTGCCGCCGAATGTAGTTCATTGAAACATTTAGAATGTTTTCCTTCTCACGGAGACCTTAATTAAGGACTCATCTGGGGATTTTATTTCACGGTCTAAGAAATATGTTCCATTTAATAAAATATTCATTTCCTCTAGGGTTGGGTTGGTTGCCAAATACTGAGTCAGGCTGAAAAAATTCTGGGTATCCACACATATGTGTATCCCTGTACACACATACAAATATGTATATAAGGATAACCCAGAAACCACCACCCAGCATTAGCAGCAGCAGTGCCTAAAGCAACTGACCCGTTCGATCCCGGGTTTTGGCACCAGAAAAATAAAAAAATAAAAAAATAAAATAAAATAAAATAAAATAAAATAAAATAAAATAAAATAAAGGAACTGACCCTATTCCTGGTTGAATTGTTGCAGTTTATCATTGTTCATGATTTTAGGACATTCTCAGCTGTGGTGGTGAGAATACTATGTAACTTACACATATCTACAGTATAGTTAGGGGTTATAAAGTTAAGAGTTTCTTTTAATAAATTAAATGATTAGTCTGACTGTTTACTAGGGCTACGCAATTAGGTAGGAACGACACGGAACACTAAGTCAATTATTTTAGAAAGGCTTAGGAGGCTCTTTTCACTGTCCATAAAGTCACCTTGTGATTTCTTCAATCAGCTACGCACAAGGCACCCTCGTGTTTATGAAGCAACTTAGATTCCGTGGTTTGGGATTCTCACAGGCCGCCTTGGACCTGAGTTGAGACTGGCACCATTTCTGCACATCTCCTTCAGGTTCTGCGCATTTTTCATCTGCTTCTGTGGCTCCCAGGGAGATCATCTTCAGCTGTCAAATTTACTTTTACTCCAAATGATCCAATAAATAAACTCCCCCATATTGAATATTTATATTTATGCTCACATTTAAATAACGTTTACTAACATTTGCCATCCTCTTAAGGCCCCAATCAGAAAAGAAACCAAATCATCAGTTAAGCGTTAATTTTCTTAGCAACTGGAAAAGATTAAGACCACCTTTAGTAGATTCTGGACCTTTATATGGCAAAGGTCTAATGAAGAAACACCAACGAAAGCACACGCAAGAGAAACATACACCAAAAAACCTGATAAGATTCAGGACATGCATAGAATAATTGTGCTTACCAGCTTGAGAGAAAGCTTCATGTAAAAATTGGAGACATAACAGGGGGGAGAAAAGAGAGAAAGAGACAACACATCAGAAGAAGAGGAATTCGGTCAGTTGCACCGTATTAACATAACACATAAATTCACCTGTCACTTGTGAAAATGACTGCAGCGGATCTGTGCAAACGTTCACAAGAGGGGCTGGCCCCTGCCAAAACCTTCCTGTAGCTGCCACGTTGCCAGGGCAAAGGATAAAGACAGAAAAGGAGACTTTCTATTCACAGTTCTGTATGGGTCACATCAGCCTGGATATAAGCTAAAATAAGTTCGCAGTTGGTGACACATGCTGATAATAAAAGACAAAAATAATCACATGGGCTTTTTGTTCACTGCATTTACATGGAAAGTTTTACTCGCGGGGGGTCTGAAGAGCAGTGACTTCCACAATGTACAAGTATCTTAAGAAACTCTAATAAATATGAACACTTGAAGGCATTGAGGCAAATTCTTGAATGGGTGAACAGGTAACCAGGCACTGGAAGCTGCTCTAGGAAACCACCCGCAGGAGCCAGGAAGCTTCTCTGCATGAGGCTGGAGGCAGGACAATGCTCTTGCACCACTTAGAAGGTGTATTCAGAGGCTCTCCATCCACTCTGAGGCCTACCCACGGGGATAACATAGTATTTGGGAACTGACTGGGGTAGCTGCCCTGAGAGTTACTGTTAGGAAACAGAGTCAACTATCTCAACTACCAAGGAGGTAAGTCTTGCTATGGATTTCCTGACAATTATCAGGACACAGCAGGTGTAATTCTCCTGGGTCTGGGGATTAACAAAGGCATAGTGATCACTGGACACGAAACAGATGAGAAGGCATCTCAAAATTAGAAAAAAACAAAACAAAACAAAACATCTGGTTCTCCATTAATGCCTGAGACATGCTCTGTGGCTGTAAAGCAGTGTTTTGTGAGTGCGGTGCATTTTTACTCAGCGGGCATCAATCCTAAAAGTTCAGGCAGTTGTGGTAGGATCAAAAATATGTTGGAGACAAAGTACCAAAGAAAGCGCCCTTTGATTTTATTTATTTTATTTTTTATTATTTTTTAATGCCCTTTGATTTTAAAATGAGCTGGAGGGTGTTAAAAATTCCTTAAGCAGATTTAAAAAAAATCTTATACATAAGATTAACTCAAAATTGACACTTCTTTTTAAAAAGCCATCCCACTTTTAAAGAAATTGCCCCTGTGGCGAAAAAGACTTGGAGGAAAGAAGAAACAAGACAAAACTTTTGGGAGAACAAGGTATATCCTGGCATACTCATGACTGTTCTCATGGGCCTCTCCTGTGAGCTTTAGCACAGATCGATTCGTCACATCTTGAGTTCTTTACAGACAACAGTGAGGGTGCACAGCGGAAAACTTTGCAAATATCTTCCCTATAAAGCACGCTACCACCTACAAATGTCTTCTCACACATTACTATCTAAATGTCACTAATTCAAAGACCCGACATTTGCCCTCTGTACACTATCTGGTCTCTATTTGGGTACTTCTGTTACTCGCAGGCATGGATAAATTAAATATTCTTCCTTAAGCATTCCAAAAGAAGAATTCTAACATCGGAACTAATGGCAGAGGAATATTACCACTTCGTAATAACAATGAGTTATGGGGACTGAAACGAAATCTGAATACCAAGAGGAAATATCGGATTTTCGAGACAAATTCAATTTTCTGAAGTGCACAGTGATGGGTCATCTACAAGGAACACCATCATGGGATGTGGTCTTCTTGTAACAATCACAAACCAGTTTCCGGTCTTAAGTTGGTAAGCCAGCCAGTTAGATCACTTAACATTAGAAACCAAATCATTTAAGAGAATACTTTTAAAGATTGCATTAAGTGCATTGCAAGACATCCGAGGAACTAAAAAGCTGTCAGTTTCAGGCAATAATTATGGAGCCTTGGGAGCCACACATGTCAATAACACATGAGGGAACACAGAGCTAGCGGATCCATGTGTTACTGTGCAGCCACAGGTACTAACCTCCAGTACGAAGAAAGGGGACAGTGAAAATAAACATATAAGTAAATGGGTTTAAGGTCCATACAAAGCCACATTACTACTCCGTGACCTTGCTCATACTCCAGTGATCGTTTTGGTTCTGCAAGGTTTAGGGCATCACCCCCTTACGGATCCACCTCTTTCAAACTGGGATGTGGGTCCTCGTGCAACACAACTGCCATCTATTAAGAGTGTCCTTCTGCTGTGACCACACTCTGCAGTTGCATTTATGGGTGCGATTCTGCTGTAAAATCATACCCAGTGACATCTTCTCAGATGGCAGTCGCGGTCAACACAGAGGGGGGAAAAGCCAAGCTCAGTTCATTGGCATTTTGAGGAAGTTTGGTTTGTCATTGGGAAGTTGGTTCTTTCTCCCACCCAAGTTTTCCAGATGAAGTAGGTTGGGGTTGAATTTATACTCATAATTAGGTCTTTTCGGGTCCAGATCTCCCAGTGGAGAATTTCGTCGCTGGGTCCCCAGTCTTGGTGCTCTCATAGGGGTTAGTACCTGTGCTGTGACCGTATGCCGTGGCCGTCACAGGTAAACTTACAACATAGTCCCTAGCTTCAAAAGCATACGTGGGTTTCCCTATTGTCCTCTTCATGAGTTCTTTGTGAAAACAGAAAGACTGAGTCTGCCAATAATCAGCAAGAGAACAAGATAAATAAAATTAAAGTGACCATAAAACTGTAACATCTGACAAACAATCAGTAAGGATTTTCCAAATCTTTTGATCAACTTTCATGGGATTTTTCCATGCAATGAATTCTAAAACATGGGGAAACTATGTCCATAGTTTAGATCTAGAAGGACCTTGCCCAGACCAGAAAAATACATCTTAATTTAAGACAATAAGATTACATTTGTAAATTGCAAACGGAGACCATACTATCTAGTTTCATTTTTCCTTGACTTACATAAAGATGAAAAAACAGTTAATAATGCTCAGGTGGCATATTTTAGAAATGTTCAGTGAAACAAAATTTCCTTACAGATGCCAACAAAAAACATTTTATCCCGTTTACTTAGACACAAAATCGGCTATGCTAAGAAATGTCTGCATAGGATTTATACAGTAATAGAAACAAAAGATTGAAATCTGGATCTGAAGGCTGCAAAACATGATAAATTAAAAGATGTGTTAAAATCACAGATTTATTATTCTAGGACACTTTTCCTATCTTTGGTACAATAGTCTTAGAGTTAAAAAAGAAGAATAAATGAAAATAAGGACAGTATCATTTTCGTCATGGGCCCTGTAATCCATATACCTTCCGTGTTGAGATTGCTTTAAAATCAAATTTATTTCCCCAAACTTCAGATTTGTTTTTTATTTTTGAACTTCCTAATTTTACTTCTGTGATGCATTTCCTTTTTTTTTTTCTTTCTTTCTTTTTTGTTCACTGCTACTTCCTGAAGGAAGGGACCTCAAATCTGACCCTTGCTAAGAACAGGCTGATCAAAAAGGAGGGAAGAAGAAACATGTTTCTATTCATTTACTAATGCTTCTAGAATGCGTCTGTGTGCACATGAACTCTCAGGAAAACACACTCAGCATTGAGAAAAAAAAAAAGTTTTTTTTAACTGTTTTTGCTGAGCCCAGATTTAAAGAGTAAGAAATAGAACTCATTTTGCCAATTAGCAATTTTTAAAAGAGGGGGTTTCCTTTAAATCATCATAATAGCCTGTTTCTCATTTCACTGTTTTTTTTTTTTTTTAAGGCTTGTATTTTTCCTAGCTGTCTTTCCTGTACACTTATTGATTACTGACATTCTTTGGTCTTTTCCTAAATAAACATTTAGAGAACATCAGGAAACACAGATTCGGAAAACCATTTGCAACCAACAGACTGTGTAGTGCTGAGAGAATGGAACAGACACAGAAACAAATGGTAAACAATCACAAATATTCAACATACTCCATCGTGAGATTCCAAAAGACCATTCAGAGGTACTTATTAGAAACACAATAAATGAGTGCTCTATAAAGGTCCTGCAAGTGGCAGAGATGGTTAACTGACTTACAGTTAATGTAAAACTTTATAGTCCAGCAAAAACACCCTGGCCAGATGTTGGCAATTCTTCCATGAGCAAGCAGGATGGACAGGGAGTTTTAAAAGCCAGCCTGATCCAGCCAGGAATTGAGATCTAATTATAGAGCTCAACGCGATCTATCATCCACTTCTGAAGCTCTGCCTTCTAACAATGGCTCTCTTGAAATCTTGAGGAAATTAATTTCTAATTCTTAACCTGATATGCTGAGTAATCTTAAGACAAGGTAATTTCACCAACTATATGTATTCTTTCCATAAAACGTTGAGATTGAACTCTGTGTATAAAGAAATGGGGGGGGGGTTGTCCCTCATTCTATTTATTTACTTATTTTTAAAACATGGACCACCACAAATTTGAGTGCCGTCCACATGCAGGGGACATGCTAATCTCCTCCGTATCCTTCCAATTTTAACATATGTGCTGCCCCTTGTTTTAGTCAATTATACATTTACATTCTTTTTTACCCAAAGGAAGGAAGAGTAAAAATTATGTTTGTATGAAAACACATCCCACAACCACTGTACCACAAAATTCCCAAAGGTCAGGATAAAAGACCTTAGTGGAAATGTCAGCACACATGCCTGTTTACTCTTGATTACCATGCTTCATTATTTATTATAAAGGATATTTGGGGATGGCTTAGACTATGCTGCTCAGTTAGATTTACTCGGGAAGCTCCAAATGACTTTATTCCAATCTTTTCCTATAAACCAAACTGGTAACTCTTTTTGGTTACTGGATCAATTTCACAAAGCCCTGTGAGCTAGGCACAATCATAATTGAATGGCAAACTGGAGTCTAAATGACATCCACTCATGAGTCAACCATATCTATATAATAGATGCTCCCTGAATGTGGACGTCACAGAACCTCAGACTAAGAGCAGCCTCTCTCGCTTCACCTCTTCCTAACTTCGTCTTTTTAGCCCTTGGTTTTCTTACCAGTAAAATAAAGATGTCTTAGTACCCAGGTTCCTAGGCCAGTTGAAGGAAAGTAAGTGGTCCCATGGAAGAGAGTCTGGTACATCATAAGTGCTCAGTAAATGTCAGCCATTTATTATCTTAGCCTCTAAAGATAAATCTGGCCTTAGGCCTTTCCAGCAACAGATATTTTAGCACCATCATATAAATTCACCATCATATAAATTCACCAACATAGCTAAAGAAACCCCTGTAAACTCGTGACATTTCCCCTTTGAACCCTGAGGCTTAGCTCAAAGAGAAGTATCTTCGTGACGCTTGCATTATTGCAGCAATTATCAAGCAATTATTTTCTGAGTATACAGTGACTTCCAATTCCTCATCTCGTCTGCTGCTGGCTTTAGCAATTGAATCTAAGCTTCCTTTTTTGGTAAAATCAAGGTAGAATATTAATGACTTAGATGTGTTCAAAGGGAAGTGGAGAAAAGCCTTTCTAAAATGTGCTCGAGACATAAAGGACTCTGGGCTGGCTTGGCTGGATTTCTCTTCTTCCCATCCATCCTGTTTCCTTCTTTCTTCTCTCCTCTTTCTATCCTTGTTCTTCTTTCTAGCTATGGTGAATCACCGGTCCTTACCGGTTCATGTTATGGGGAAAACACAATGGGTTCATTCACAAACAAAATGGGTTATGCAGAACAACACATGCAACCAGAGCGCACAAGAGACACACGATTCCAGAGCAGAACTTACCCCACGCTTTAAACTCCTGAAGCAGTGCATTTTGGGTTTGGAGGTCATGAACTCGTTGAAGCGATGGGAGAGGGGTTCCTTTTGCTGCTTGGGAGACTGGGGGCCGTTGGGAACAGCAGAGGGTGAGGCAGAGGCAGGGGGAGGAGGGGGAGGCTGATGGGGGGATGTTAAAAGGGACATAAGCTACATGTAAGAGATGGAGCAGTGACAGAGTAAAATCAGAAACAAGAAGATAAGACACAAAACAAAAATAAGCATCAAATCATATTTGAAATCCAAAGCAAGTCAAACACAAACGATTAAATATTTAGGCCATGGTCCAAAAGAAAACATGTAGAATATGACGAAAGTGGAAGTTTTAGTAGTCAAGCAACAGAAGAAGATCTCTGACAAGAAGCTCATGCAGATTCTCACATGCAAACTGTTTCTGATTAGTTATGCTAAACCAGTTAAGGCCAGAAGGGTAGAGATTTCTAAACCACCTAAACCAAGAGAGCTCGATGAGAGCAAATAAAGGACCTTAGATGCCAAGATTATCAAAACAGCAAGACAGTCTTTGAAAATTAAATTCGAAGTTATTGTCAGGAGAGCGCAGTAGTGCTGTCTTGACCGCATGTGATGCCCAGGTTAAAGCTGTCATGCACCTATGTATCACGCTACCAAAAGAAAACGCAAAATGTTCATGGAAGCACATGGTTAACATGAATTCAGACCAAGTTTTAGCCCATGGAAACGATTTCAATGAGAGCTGCCGATAAATCGTTCTAGAAATTCTGCGCAGTGTCCCCTCTCCCAGCCGAGGTGACCAGGTGGCTAGGAGACTTAGCAGTGAAAGGCATGATGGGAAATGGCCGAGAGGTCAGTAGAGGTCAGTGTTAGTGTGGTTGACAAGTGACAATGCATCCGAAATAAGACAGATGGCCATGGCAAAGGTACCACCACCAAAGAAATAATAATTTAAAATAAAATAGCACACTAGCTAGCTAGCTCTTTTTTGCATTCTGCAAACTACAGGTTTAAGTTCTTAGGTTTTTGGTTTTTTTAAAGACTAACAGAGAAAGTAAAAAATCTCCACATTTTATAAAACCCATTTCACACTGGGTCCAACCATCAGTACCTTATTTTTCTTGATGAATGGCCATAACTTTCCTTTGGATTTGCCACCAAATTTGAGCTCTGATTTGCCTTCTCTGGAATTCGAAAGGCTGTTATCCGACACAGTGCGCTTCATGGGCTGAGTGTAATCCTCAAATTCAATGTCCCCGGGAGGTTCAAATCCGGACTTATAAGCTTCTATTACCAGCTGCGAATCCTGAAATTACACCCATCAAACAGGAAGACACTTAAACACGGGCAAATGCTTTTCACACAACAGATTATGATGACCCCCACAGATGATATTGTCAAGAACTGTTATCTCTACAATTATCTATAGAATTATATCTATATTGATTAATAACAGATTTGTTTTATAGTAAGACTTTTATCATTAGAAAGAATAGCCTATTCGTAAAGCTGTATGTCTAGCTGAGATGGGAAGATGCTCTTAATAACCATTTTTTCAGAGTTGGAGAAACAAATATTAAATAAGAAGGACTTTGCTTAAAGCAGAAAAAAATGGGCCCCTGTTATTATGCACTTCCCTTGAAAAATACAATGATCCAAAAATCTGGCTCTCACCCGAAGTTCTTAAGGTAATGTAGCATACACAAAATCAAAGCCAAGAGTAGATAATCTCTCTCATTTCTTTGGTTCATTGTGGTTCAGGGTTATTAATTTATTGTGTGATTTTTCCTTACATATGCATTTGTTCATGGCCACTTCCCCACTCACACGCAAACTGTCTTCTGTTTTTTCCTCTATCATATCCCTAGAACCTAAATGGCATACAGCGAGAATTGTGTGCAACAAATGTTTGCTGAATAAATCAATGAGCTGAATGCCCACTCTAGGGTGTGCACTCTGCTAGGAACTTCAGGTGTGGTACATCTTCTCAGGCTTAGGTGGTAAGACAAATAATAAGACAATCACAACCGTAATGTCATAGGTAGATAGATGTATATATAAAATATTGTAAGAGCACATGTGATTTGTAGTAACATTTGAAGTCAGTGATCATCTGACTTAAAAAAAACTACTAGAGAAGACAATCTGGAAAGATCTCGATTTTTTTTTTTTTTAGATTTCATTTATTTATTCATGAGAGACACACAGAGACAGGGGCAGAGACACAGGCAGAGGGAGAAGCAGGCTCCATGCAGGAGCCTGACGTGGGACTCGATCCTGGGTCTCCAGGATCATGCCCTGGGCGGAAGGCAGATACTCAACCACTGAGCCACCCGGGCATCCCCAGATCTTGATTTTTAATATAAGTCCCCAGTTTGGTATGCCACAGTTATTTTAGCTACTATGTACTTTGTAGATGGACTGCAGACTTCCAATAGCCAACCACCTTTCCTTCTTAGGAATAGGAACCCTGATTTTAAGTTGGGCATCTTGCCACCCACCTAAAGGCTTCAATCCCCAGCCTTCTGTATAGCAGGAGGAGGTCATCTAAGTTTTGACCTCCGAGATCTCTGAGATGTAGACAGGATGGTGTACAATTTTAGGAAGACTCTCTAGGGGTGCCTGGGTGGCTTAGTTAGTTAAGTGTCTGCCTTTGGCTCAGGTCATGATCCCGGGGCCCTGGGATTGAGCACTGTATCAGGCTCCTTGCTCAGCAGGGAGCCTGCTTCTCTCTCTCCCTCTGCCTGCTGCTCTCCCTGCTCATGTTGTCTTTCTGGGCAAACAAATACATAAATCTCTAAAAAAAAATAAATAAATAAAATAAGACTCTTTAAAGGGACGGCATGGGCCCTTGGTCATACCATCAAAAGCTGTGAGCTAGGAGGAGGCTGAGTTCCTGAGAACTTACAGATCATCTGCCCATGCCAAGGCTGGACCTTCTGCCTCCAGACATCTTTTACGTGAGAGAAAAAACAAACCACCTTGTGCAAGACATTACTGTTCTTGTTACGTGCAGTTAAATGTATGGTAGCAGATTCTGATCTATAAGCCCAGGTATGCCAGTGACTCACTGATGTGCTCTAATGAGAACATGGTCATTTGATATAAATGGAAACTAATCACACATAAGTAAACCAGTTTGAACTTTCAAGTAATCATGTGATTCTGAGACTGCATTAAGAGTCTATAGATTACTCCAAGGAACGAATGTGGAGAGTACACAGGCCCAAAATCAAAGCCCAAGGTTACTCCCAAGTTAAATGGTAAGAAGGAAAAGGAGAACAAAAAAAGGAGTCTGAGTCAGTAAAGAGAAAAGCCATCAAAGTATGGTTTCCTGGGAATCAAGTGAAGGAAGAGCAGGTAGGAGAGTGTTTGAGTGGGGGCCGGTGCTGCTAATAGTTCAAGTTCTTGAATATGAGCTTGAATGAAGACCTAGAAAGACTCTTGGATTTAGTAACATAAAGGTTGTAGGTGAAACAGAATGATCAGTGATATAATGGGAAAACAAGGCTCCCATAATGGGAGAAATATCGTAAAGATCTAGGGTGCTCACAATTTCCCAGATAAAAATGATCAAGGGAAACCATCATTCAGACATGATCTTATAAAACTGTGAAGTTTCAAGGAAAAAGACATTTCCAAGCTTCTAATACAAAAAATTAAAATCAGGGTTGTTTCAGAATTTAATCAATGCCAGAAGTCAATGAAACTAAGAAAAAAAGCCAAGATTCAATAGAGGTGAAAGCTTACCTATAAATCTCACGATTATTATTTCCCTTTAAAAGATCCCTCCCTACAGTCATTTATTGGCGACTGCTGACATTTTAAACAGTGTGATGAGGGAAAGCCTCACCAAGACTATTTCTCGATCTCTCTCCATGAGCCAGGCATCTATGAGCCACCAAAAGACTTTGTCCAAAGCTGAGGATGCAAAGATGTCCAAAATCAATGAAGTAACAGCGGTAAGAAAATGAAAAAGGCACTCATACCATGGAAAACTGGACTGCATGGATGCATGACCAGTCACGTGTTTCAACCAAGACTCATGTTCAGCAAAAGGACTTAGAGGTGCTTAAAGGAGATAAAACCATCAAATAAAGAGATTTTCAGTGTAAGAAAGGGATGGTTTGATCACTTACAACTACTTCTTGGCATAATGTAGCTTTGTGGGGGAAACACCATCAATTAAGAAGCATCAGTAACTTCCCCCAAAAAAGTTAGCTGAAATCACCAAAGAAGGAGGCTTTGGCAAATAGATGTTAATAAAAATAGAGATCGAGGAATTCTAAAATCAAAAACATATGCCTGCTACTGGAACTATTCTTTCTACAAACACTTATCATTTAACACATTTGGAAGTATTTCTGCACATTGGATTGATAACAATTTTTTTACACATATGGCCTTAAATGTTAATACACCTAAAATGTCCTTAGGGCAATGAAGAATCTATATGCTAAGATATGCTCATATCGGAAAGACAGCTTTGATTCCTTGCCTGGGCTCATTCCAAGATGCTCTCATGACAAAGAATACTCTTGACATTGCTTTTTGTTAAATATTTGGTTTTGCAAATTAAAAAATGTTTGTAAAAGCCTACAGTGGTATCCTAGTTATTTTTGTTGAGGGAAATAGGTAGGTTTCTAGGAAAGGAATCCAAATGAATGACACTGGCCCTAAGTAGTGTTCTCAGATGGAGACGATTGTGTCCTGCAGGGGACATACGGCAATGTCTAGACACTTCTGATCCTTATAACCCAGGGAAGGGTGCTACTGGCATCTGGTCAGTAGAGGCCATGGATGATGCTACTACACACTCTGAAGTCCTCAAAACAGGCCCCTACAATAAAGAATTATCTGACCTGAAATGCAACAGAGCCCTAAAGAACCAGATCCCAGTGTGTGGGGTTACTCAGCCAACTGACAGGAAAACATTTCAATTTAATTCTGTAATGTCCCAGACTTATCTGTGTTTTTTTTGGAAAAGAAATGTGAGAGCTAAATCCAAAACACTGAAGGCTGAACAGAACACTCTAAAATGGTGTTACTATGGCTGCAGAGTACTCGTAAGAACTGGAAACAACTATCCATCTTGAGATAATTCAGCGAGGTCACTGTGGACAGAAGAGAAGAAATAATGGAACCAGAATCCTTCGTTGTAAATTAAGTTCAAACTACAATACTTACGTTCTTCTGATCGATTGATTCAGCTGCCTTTACTATTTCATCCAAGCATTTCCCAATGATCGGAATCACTTGCCGATCAACCTCCGCGTAGGTCTTCATTGATTCTCCGATCCGCACTATCCTCCGTTCTTCCATCTCCTGTATTTTCTGCAACATTAGATTTTGCATGAAATCAATCTGGTCCACTATGACTCACAGAAGTTGCTTTCAGTGGCATTGTTACCTTGAGCAAACAGTCTGGGAGGGAAATAGGCCGATCGGTAGGGTTAGAGCTATACTTTCATTATGATTATTGCCTCTGTCTTGGTCAGCTGTACACATCTTTTATGAGTTGTTAGGCTGTCCAAATGTATACTTTATGGGATTCCATTCCAATTTCAGTGAGAACCCCAAGCTCAAGTACTTTTCCCGTTGACACCATTTGGTGATACATTTCAAACATCTCCTCTGCCTTTGATCTGCTACTTCACTCTACCAAAAGCCTGGTGTTGGTTAACGGTCTCAACCCAGCCCAGGCTGAAATGTAACGAGTGTATCTTCCCTCTACTAGTTGGAGGTTCTCGTCTGCTATGTGTGTAGACACTAAGAGGCAAATACTTGTTATTTTTTTCTACAATGGGACACAAGTTGTAAAAGATTCCCAGTGTGGGAGAACAGGTCTACAACTTTTCTCATGCCATTTCTGACAACCTAAAGTAGCCAAAAGAAAAACAATGCAAAGAAAAAGACTGTCATGTGTTCAAATCCTATAGCCGTATGGATTCTGCTAGGACTCCCAAAATTTAGTTGGCATTTTATAATCTGAATGGTCCTTTTAGCAAAGAGGGTGCTAATCTAAGACTTGTACTTCTAAGACTGGCAAAGAAGGCTGCAGTTGCAAACTAAGGACATCTACAAAGGTCATTGATTAACCCTGAGATTAAGATTATGTTTCTTCTTATTGCCAGTCAATGCTTGATCTGGATGCTCGATTTGTTTGTTTATATTTTTATTTTTTTTAACTAGGCTCCAAGCCCAGAGCAGAGCCCAACTCAAGGCTTGACCTCATGACCCTGAGATCAAGACCTGAGATCAAGAGTCAAGTGCTTAACCGACTGACCCACCTAGGCACCCCCTGGATGCTTCAAAAAGTGACTTCAGCTCAAGGAAATGCAGAATTCTGTAAATACTCATAAGCCCAGCAATCATGATTCCAAATGTGTCTCTAAAGGCAAAGCCAATCTGAGAAGCCTGAATCACTTACCTGAAATATGTTGGGGATGTGAGTGTGGTAATATTCGTGCTGCTCATGGTTGAATTTCTGGAGAATTGATGAGTAATCTGCTTTGCTGTCCTCTGCCATTTGGTGACGTACTTGAGCTTGTTGTCGCGCCTTGGGGAAAAAAATGAGAGTATCCAAATGTTTACATATGATAAGAGCCTGGAGTTGCAAACTGGAGGGGTTTGCAGTCAAATCGACCTCCAATGCATTATATTGAGCAGGTGTTATTTTCTAGAAATTGTTTAGATCTTGAATTTAGTTTAGGTAAGGATGTGCACCCTAGTTTTTCACAAACCCTACCATTCTCTATTGTCTTAACTTGGCATTACTTTCTAGTTTGACACAAGTGCCCCTATTCTTTATTGTTTGTGCTTGGCCCAATTCACATATTTATGTTACCTAGATGGCCCTTGTGAGAACCTGTGCTCAGATAGATAGATAGATAGATAGATAGATAGAGATAGATAGGAGGGGATGGAGGAATCCAGAATTTTTTTTATGCAATTCTCAGTGGAGTTCATGAATTACAAAGGCATAGGAACCAGTGATCCTTATGGACCTTTCTAACACTCTCCACGATGTTTTTTTTTTATTTATTTATTTATTTATTTATTTATTTATTTATTTATTTATTTTTAAGTAATCTCTACACTCAACATAGGGCTTGAACCCAGAGATCAAGAGTTGCATACTCTACAGCTGATCTAGGGAGGTGCTCAGATGTTTACTTTTAGTGTATAGTTTAAAGAAGTAGTAAATATGGCACCTTCTTTGTGTTTTACTGCATTGATTTTCTCCTAAATAATCAATAATAAAATTCATGCATTTGTTTCTCTCTTCTAATTCACATTTTGGTTCATTACACACCTACGCAAAAGGGGGCAATTGTCGACAAACTGCAGAATCAATTTTATTTATTTTTATTTTGTAATTAAGCAGGCTCCACGCCCAACATGGGGCTTAAACTCATGACACCAAGCTCAAGAGTCGCACACTCCACCAACTGAGCCAGCTGCACACCCCTGCAGAATTGATTTTAAAGCTTGAACAAGGGACACCTGGGTGGCTCAGCAGTTGAGCACCTGCCTTTGGCTCAGGGCGTGATCCCACAGTGCCAGGATCTAGTCCCACATCGGGCTCCCTGCATGGAGCCTGCTTCTCCCTCTGCTTAGGTCTCTGCCTCTCTCTCTGTGTCTCTCATGAATAACTAAATAAAGTCTTTTTTAAAAAATAAAAAAAAGTTACATTTGAACAAAAATGACTGAAAACTCTGAAGTCATTCACAAATAGCACTGATGGTTATGCTGGTGAGCCCACCATAGATTCATCTAGCACTTTGGAGATGTCTGGAGAAGTATGACCTCATGAATCTCTAACACAGTCTGAATTCATGCAGGGCAAAAACTACCCCCTGCCAGATGAAGAGGTGGCTTGGCCCGCAGGTGACTTGGCCGACTCCCACACTGAGCCAAAAACACAACAGGAAAAGAGCCTCGTTCCAACATAACCAAGAGAACTTTTTGTTTCTTTGTTTTTTGTTTTGTTTTAGTAAACCCAATCGTTTTTAAGGACAAAAAAAGAACACAGACACGTTCAAATGTAAAGCCGGTGCCCCACTTTCTGCCTGACCACCGGGAGCACCTACTATCAGATTTTCAGCATCTCGGTGTTCTGTACGGTTTCCTGCCTCTGTGACTTGGAGGCCTCACCTGATTTTCACTTCCTTGACACATTTCACTCATCTGCGTGTTGGTGAAAGCTCAGTGTGGTTGTTCAGAGTTGCTTCCTTCATCCTATTCTCCAATACGTCTCAGACAAAGGTTAACAATATAAATATTTCCAAACTGATTTCCTGATTACCTGAGGGTTTTCTTCTTAGTTTCTCAAGGGCTTTAGAGATCTCAAAACCCTCAAAATCTCATTTTTATATACTTCTCATCTCCCCTTGGTTACTTCAACGGCCATATTCTTCCTCTTTGTCGGCCGTCTGTTAACTCCCTTCCTGACCATATGCTCTAGCTTCCGCTTCTACTGTGTCCACTAGTAAATATATGAATCTGGTCCCCAAAATGTTAAGTCCCCAGCTACCTTCAAAAATCCATGCCCTTTCAGTATACTCTAGGCCTCCTCTGTTTAAATAATAGCTTTCCCACCTCCGTGCATACCATCTGTTCTCCTAACCATTCCAACACAGAAAGCCTTTAACTCTTTCAATTACTTAGTTTTATCATGTATCGCTTTGTTGTGACTGTGGGAAAAAAAAAAAAACAAGGAAACTCCCAGGTAGACCTTAAATTTCTTAAAAATTCTCTATTTCATTTATAAACCTTCCTCAGAAAAAGTCTTACAAAAATTCAAGGGGGACGGGTCGTTTCCTCATCTCCTTTGTAAATAAGAGTAACAAGTTACAAGATGGAGTCCCCTTATTTATTTTGGAGAAATTATTCTAACTTGGTGAATTTTTAAAATAGCTTAAGCTCTGAAACAGAGAGCAAAATGTCATCATTATGCATGTGTAGGTAGGTACGTTCATGTACACACACACACACACACACACACACACACACACCCCGAGCAGATACAAGCTTCCTGACAATACACCCAACATATTAACCATGGAATGTTTCACTCATAACTGGAGCACCCTGCCAGAGGTACCCCACCACCATCTGTTTGGAAGTGGCAGCGATCACCTCCTCAGTTCCCCCGAATCCCTAATAATACTGTGTTCACGGATTACATAATTGCTTTCGTGAGCATATTAACTCGTAATAGTTTCACGATGCCCTTTACAAGCTTTATCTGCAGTGATCCTGGAACCTAACTAGGGACCACTAGATGGGAGCTGAAGAAGCTGAAATCAGGAATGATTCATATAAACCTCCACCCTGGAAAGCTAGCTGAGTAGAAGAAAACAAATCAGACAAACCTATGTCAGAGGGAATGGTCTACCTTTTATGTTAAAGAAGCATGATCTCCCTGGGAGATTTTTTTGAATGCAAACATGTGGACGTAAAGTTGCAAAGTGTATGTGTGTATATATTATTTTCCTACAGTCTCTCTCTCCTCCCTCTCTCTCTAATTGGACAGAGAAGCACTTAAAGGCAGTAAAATATTGTCCCACATCAAATTCCTGCAGGGCTGGGGCAGGAAGACAGGACGGTCTTATTCTCAATCCCAGCATCCAGATGCTTTGAATTAATACCCACTTTTGAATTCCGGGCCCAGGAATGTGCCATTGTTTGAGCAAGTTTTACTATGGAAAATCTATTTTTGTTTCATAAGCTCTTATGTTAATTTTGTGATGGAACTTAGAAGAGTCTCTAAAACTAGCCTTGAGTCGTTACTCACGTTTACAAATACGTTTTTAAAAATATCTTTAAAAGTGCTTTCAAAAACTCATCCGGAGTGACCCGTAAGTCACTATATATTTTAGAGAGTGTATCTCCTAGTCTAAGGCTAAATGAAGATCATAAAGACCACTTTTTCTCATCTCTGTTTAAGTCATTCTAAAAATAGTGACTATTATCTTCAAGAGGTATTTCCTTCCCAAGGCAGACCATAAGCTGTATCTTGCAATTAAATTAAAGTTCTTGTTCTAAGAATACAAGACATTACATCTTATAGCAACATAACTGTAGGGCCAAGAGAAGTTCAGAGGGTTCTGGGGTTTTGTTTTTCTTTAATGAGTCAGTCATAGAATTTAGAGAAAATATTCTTAAAAAATCCAGAATGACCACAATTGCCTAAGGCTGTAAATCACAGACATCTTTGAATAAGATCTAAGCCACTTCCACTGTCAATCAGAAAGACTGAATTTAAACTTCAGAATTTCTTTGACAAACCCTTGGGAATCTCCCCAAATAAATTCAAACAGGCCTAAGTATGTACTGCTTGAACATGACTTCACTGCATGGTGGCTCTTAACACAGGTCCTCTAAATGTCCTATGGAAGTAAAGTTGGATTGCCTGAAAGGTCAGAGTTGAAGTATCTAAATAAGGAAAACAATAATTTAGAAACTGAACTGCAGCCCGATGCTTCTAAATCCTTAGGGGTTTAAAGATAAAAATACTATAATCCATTTAGTTAGTTAAATTTAGACTATTAGCATTGGCCAAAATGTGCAGCTACTTCCTGTTCAGTTCAGTGTTATTTTTTTCAGATATTAAGAGAAGAAAACAATGCTGTTAGCCGAGTCTCAGCTGTCATAAGTAGAGAATGTAGGGTGTACTAAGAAATGTGTTCACTTTCACGTGGGGAACATGGTTGATTTGCTTAAGAAATTACACACTCACATTTTTTCTCAGGGCTGCTCATAGCTTTTGACCTTTTCACAAAAAAGGGCAAATACATACTGGTTCCATTTACATATTTACCGTAAATAAATAATGAGATTTATTAATTATTTTAATTTTTTTTAAATTTATGATAGTCACAGAGAGAGAGAGAGAGAGAGGCAGAGACACAGGCAGAGGGAGAAGCAGGCTCCATGCACCGGGAGCCCGATGTGGGAGCCCGATGTGGGACTCGATCCCAGGTCTCCAGGATTGCACCCTGGGCCAAAGGCAGGCGCCAAACCGCTGCGCCACCCAGGGATCCTGTGAGATTTATTAATTTTTTGAACATGGCCTCAGATCTCCTGCATTTTTATATATGCTCCTATTTCTTAAATGATAAACCATTTAGTACAGCAGTGTTCAGAGGTTTAGGAAAGCCACTTTTAACTTTGTTAAAGGCATGTAATAGTATACATTTAAAAGGCCCATCTTTTACTCCCAGAAATCTGAGGACAGCAATGAGGAATAATTTACAGTCACCATGGTAGCTCAAATGACAGTAAATGTTTTCCAGAGCAGCTATACTTTTCAATGTGTTATTTCATCATTATCATAAAAAGAAACCAACTGTATTCTAGGCTGGACAGAAAAGGGGACTAAATCGAGATTTTATTTGGAATTCATGATTTTGCATTATTGCCAGGGTGCCCATCATCATTATCCAATAGCTGGAGACTGAGGCAGCTCCACCCAGGGAGCAGATGGGCTTGACCACTATCCCCAGGATCCAGAGGGTGAGTGGCCTGGGCTTCAGGCACAGCAAGGATCCAGCA